GCTTCGATTTTTCGATTAGCTTATTTTTCTAGCTCATTTTTGCGGGTTTTCCCAGATGTTCTAAAAAATCCCAGCAAGGGAATAATATCAATAATACTTCCAGACGGGGGCCTTAAAGGAACATAGTTCCACTGGGCTTCCCTTCTTTATTTAGTTTTTGTTTAGTGTTCATCACTTTCGTGCACACACCAATGAAGCATTAGTTTATTTGATTGTATTATTATTTTTTGTATACCTTACGTTAAGTTTGAGATGAGTCCACTACCAGGGGGCTCAAAAGAGCTTTTTGGTGTGGGGGTTAGTGGTGGGCAATAAAAAAAAAAAAAAAAACCATTTTCACATAATTTAGATTAGCTCATATATACTCAACAATAATAGAGCCGTATTTCATTTCTCACTAATTAATTTTTCAAAGCAACTTAATGAATCATTCAAATTTTGTTGCATTTTTTTCCATCCCAATTCTCAACACGTTGTCTATCTGAGCAGCAACGTTGTTTCGTATGCCAGTGATAGAGTCAGCAACAGAAAAGTGCTTCATTGCTTCTCCATCATTTTGGTATCCAAGACCGATACGTTCTGCTCATCACAACTTTGATCTGACAGACAATTACTACACTTGAATAGAACATTTGCATTATCTGTGATAAGCTTTGCCTGAGTCCGCGTAAGTGTAGTGCATTTGCAATGAAATACACGAGCACACTTACCCGCACAGATAACCGGCAAATCACTTACCAAAATCCCCAAACTACATATTGCACACTCTACCATATCTATCCACCTATACGCACAAAATTTACATGCAACACTACAGAGACACAAGTAAAAAGGAACGGAATAGCCAGAGGAAGGGAAGAGAATATTAGCGAACTACCCCGAGTTCAGAATGACGGGGACGAAATCGAGGTGGTCGACGAGTTCGTGTAGTTGGGTTCACTGATGACCTCCGATAATGATACCAGCAGAGAAATTCAAAGACGCATTTTATGGCAGGGAATTCCTACCGAGCCTACTTTGGGAATCCTCCGGTCGAATAAAATTTTCTACAAGACGTTGATTAGACCAGTGACTAAGGTCACGAGACCTGAACTATCCTAGTGGAGAACCACGTGTCCTTGGGGTATTCGAACGGAAGGTGTTGCGTACCAGTTGAAACGTGGAAGAGGTGAATGAACCACGACTGGCTGGCGACTTGCAAGTATGAATCGAGACGACTTCTTCGTATAGCACAAGACACCTGTCCATTGACTGACTATGGTATGGTATGTATCCTTATGCCTAATAATAGCCATTTGTCTTCAGCAGTGGCGTCTCCTCACTGTGCACCAACTCTCAAAACATAAAAAAAAAAATACCAAAATATAGCTTTAAGTCGATAGATTCCGAGTAAACTAGAAGATTATGTGCATGTTTCAACTGATTCAAATATGAATATGGCAGAGGTTCTCAAGCTTTTGTCGATTGCGACCCACTTCGAGAAATTCCATGAGCTTGCAATCCTCCAATATTGAATACATATTTTGCAAGGCCTAAATGCTATAGCTCCAAAATGGATTTGAAATATTAAAAATGAATTATGAACACCAAAAAAGTCGTTGCAGAATGGCTTGAAATCCAAACACCAAAACTAAAAACCTCCGGAATAGTCCAAAAATTCCAAACAAGTAAAAATAGCTATAATCGACAAACACGCTAAATCACCTTAAAAACGGCATTAAATGTGCAAAAATGATGTGGACCAACAGAGTAATAGGGCATCGATTCTACTAACAGAAATTATTTTTTTGTATTTACGTAAAGAAGGAAAAACACCACGTTTGCCTTATTATCAAGCAATAAATTAGTCGTCATTCATTGCGGACGCGTTTCCAATTCGCTCGTAGCGTCACGTTGGAATTTGATATAAGATTGCTAATTGCGCTGCATAAGGCCCTAGAAAAACAACTGGATACCAACACGCAAGTTTTGCATCGACTTGAAAGCCAGAACGAAAAATTTGATTCAATTCTCGAAGCGATCGCAGTCCTGGAACGTTCACTGTCCACCTTAATAGAATCGGTGTCAACTGTAAATAACAACACATCGTCAAAAGTAAAAAATGCGGTGTCGTCATTGTCGCGCGGTCTTGATGTCAGCTCGTTAAATTCGACTGGTATTAAAAACCACCTAACCTCAATATTCAAGAGACGACGAGAAACCGCACGAGGACTACGTGTGTGATCTTACGGGAGATTTGTCTCGTGAGCTGACGAATATGACAAATTGAATGAAGTGACAAATTTGAGCAGTCTAACCATGGACATGGGCGACAGGACGGTGTGTAAAGCTGATTGGACTGAGTACGATGCTCGAAAATCACGACGCCTGAGCCAGAAAAAATTGGCTGCAAAGGCTATAAGGCAGAGGAAGCAAAATAGGACCCACCAACAAATTTTCAACAACAACAACAATTCACACAATCTTAGCAGAAACAACAATAACAACAACATCAGAAACTACGACGACTACAACTGCAACACCAATCACGCCAACTACAATAGTGAAATCTCCAATAACTATAAAAACTACAACAATAACTGCAACAACAACAACACCAGCACATTCCGCATCGAACGTTCGACTGTTTCGGTCTAGTGTTGCTTGCACTCCGTTTTCAGTAGGGTTAAATACTCCATTTCCGGCCTATTAAGCATAAGACGCTCTTAGTCTTTCTTAATCTAGATCAGTTTAGCACCAAACGGAATGTTATTATTACTGATGGCTTCCAAATTTATTTGCCTTTCGGTACGTACCATAAGATTTGAAAACGAGAAACCAAACGTTGAGATATTGTCAAAAGTCCAACACTGCTTCTTGACGCCAAACTCGGCCTACGGATTTTAAACTCGGCCTAACGCATTGAAACGCAATTGAAACGCTAATGAATTCACTTCGGCCTATCGTATGAAGATAAAAATTGATTCGGTGGGAGCGCTTCTTTTGTTTTTGGGAATAATGGGTGCAAACTTTCATACCACGCGTTCTCATTGACTTCGTTCGGTAGCTTATTAACTAAAGTATCGTACCAAACGCATAATTGACTTGTTAACTCTGAAATCATGGATTTATTTGAAGTTTTCTGCTCGATAGGCCCAAAATGGGCGATTAGGCCGAAGTAGTGCTCTACCCTACTAGTTTTTTCCCTATTGAGGTTTTTTTTCAATCCGCTATCATACTGAGTGGTGATATAGCATACATCAGTGTATATATAGTACAGTATATGCAAAGTGGCTTATTTACATCCACACATCCAGAAAGTTTAATTGAAATCTTAGAGGGTGCTGCCAGCTCCGAATACGATTTGGCACGAAATGCGTCATATACGGACTTCAGCAAAGCGTTTGACAGAAATGGTATCCCAATGCTGATTTTTAAATTAGTCTTTTGTAGCAATTTTTATTATTAACTAGCTGAGTGTGCCCGGTCTTGCTCGGGATTCAATATTAGCTTGAGTTTATGCGCCGATTTAAAAAAAAAGCATGCTATATTGTACGTAGCGCCCCCCCTATTATCTAAGGGGCTACCCCCTATGATTATCTCCTTATACCCCCACACTCGCCCCCACATGCCTAATTTGGTTCCATTTGCTTGATTAGTTCTCGAGTTATGCAGAAATTTCTGTTTCATTTGTATGGGAGCCCCCCCTTACAGAAGGTCGAGGGGTCTCGAACCATCATAAGAACCTTCCACGGCCCCAAAAACCCCTGTATACAAATTTTCACGCCAATCGGTTCAGTAGTTTCCGAGTCTATAAGGGTCAGACAGACAGACAGACAGACAGAAATTCATTTTTATATATATAGATATTAGATGTATTATAGTGTACCATAAATGGGGATGACAATGAGCCAAAAAATCTAAATTTGTCGTTACCTACCTTAAAATATTCACATGTTAACAAAGAAAGCAATTTGAAACATGTGAATATATACACCAATAATTTATTTACGACTGTGAAAATTGTTGATTGAAATTAATATCTCATGTTAGTCAAATTAAATTGAAAAAATAGACCAATGAAAAACCCTATAGGGGGTGACATAGGGCCAAAACTAAAATTTGGTTAAAATATCTTAAAATATGTAGATGTAGCGTATCTATTAGGAGAACACTTGAATATGATCACAATGTACTAATGAATGGCAAAAAATCACGAGTAACCCTCGTCTATCCACATAAAGGTGTGTTCAAACTTTTGTTTGGACATTTTTATAAACTTGTTTTTGCTACTATTTAAGACACTAAACTTTACAGCACTATTTTAATAAAATAACTTGTTATCTACACTTTACTCCACGATTTCAAAAAACATATTCTAGTCATCATTTTCTGAAGATTCAATGCATCAATACACATGTTTCAACTATAGCTCAACGTCACCATCTAGGCTCAATGCCACCCCGACTTACGGTACTAAAAAATGTTAAGAGCAGTATATTTGTATCGATGAGACCAATCTTATATTCATAGGTCAACGTTAAAACCAATACAATCTTGTATATTTCTAGAAAATAAAAAAAATATATAAAAAGCCGTTATAAAATTCGTTAAGGTGAAAGCAACTTGGTGAGTAAAAATAAATTATAAAATGGTTTTCCTGAGAATTCACTTCAGATTGGAAATAAAAATTTCATCATTTTGCGTGAACTAAGAAAAGGAATTTCAGTGATGCCTCAGAGAAAACCATTTTTTTATTTTTATTTACTCAATCGGTCAGTTTCACCTTTGCCTTACGTTCCCAAAAACAATTTGCCCGTTATTTCGCCTTTTTGGCTATAATAACCATAGTATATAGTATAACATAACCTATACGGGACCCATAAGACTTACAAACTCTAGAGTGTATAGCACGCAGTTAGGTCAGTGTTCTATAAATTAGTGATATTCCACATGATTAAAACAATCACTTGAGGATTTCTAATGAAATTTTCACCCATGTCAGTTGTTACCGTTATCTTATTTTAGATTAATAAATTCCAGGCGGTGATCAACTCAACAATAACACCTAATATGACTTTTACCCAGACATCACAAAAGTTCGGTCAATGGAGTGACGTACGAGCGAATACCGTCTACGGCCTGGGATTTTCGTCGGAAGCTGAGCTAGGGAAGGTAAATAAATAAAAAAATAAATACAAGATCATAAGTCTGGGGTTATCCTTTAAAAAACATGTAATTTTTGTTTGCTCATATTTTTGCAATTTTACGACCGACTTTCGATCTTTATAGGTTATTTGAAAGTAATAATTGAATTGAATATTATATCATTATTGAATACTAATCCTTCTCTTAAAACTTCAATATTTTACAAAATTCTCACTGAATATGCTTGACTGACTTTCTCAGAATTGGGTTGACAAAATTTTGAAAGGAAAGTGGTAGTAGAACCCTTATTCTACAGCCATCGTGATACGTTGGATTGACGTACGAATTGGAAATTTAGATTGAAATAAATAAAATAGTTACTCAAGTCATCGATCATGTATGTATATGAACCGTTCTACCTTAACATCAACTCACAATTCAGTGAGCGCAATTACATAAGTATCGATTCCTCTGCTTACCGTCTCCAACTTTCCTAGCGGTATCTAACCCATAAAGTACCAGGACGAACGAATTTTTTTCAACAACCTCGTCCTCAGCAATGCCTCATCTGATTTTCATAAACAGGGATTTTTATTCAAGAGGAATAGTTGAACTAACTTTTGTCGTAGGTACCACCCCCTTAGAACCCTCATCGTTCTTGTGAGATGTAAATATGTCTGTGTTTTTTTTTTGTACTTTTTTAACCAGTTTGAGCAAATGTTTTAAATTTTCACGCGATTCGGTTTTCTGGTGCAGCAAATGATATCAGATAGATGACATATGGTTAGTAAGACTGAATTTAAATATTTCCATAACGTATGGCTACGATATTATCGGTTGCGGGAGTCCCGGAAATTGGTTCTGTAGGACATAGTAATATCACAGACAAACAGACATAACACTCGCAAGTTGTTCATCGAACAAGCATTTAACGGTCAATTTAAAAGTGGCGCGCAAAGTCATTTCCCTTGAGTTTGACGTTTACACACTACCACCATCTGTTCAGCGTACTACCCACCACAGTGTACTCAACAGATGGCGGTAATGTTTTAACGACGATGTTTTACAGTGAGAAATATACAATGTGTTATGTCTGTTTGTCTGTGGTAATATCTCAGGTAAAAGTATCAAATCATGTCTAATAGGTAGAATCAAGTAAATGAAGATGATTTGAGATGATGTTGACCAGTTTGGCATCGGTTCCGGAACGCGGATCTGTGAATTCCGGCGAACAGTTTGTTGAAATATAATTAAATTGAGGTTATGATATCATATTATGCCAAAATGACAAGCTATGATCAATGGAATCAGGTTGTAGTGTATATGATGACATATGGGCACATTGGCATCGGTTCCGGGAAATCCGTGGAATTTACTTATTTTTCTTCGACTTCGTCATTATTTGTAGCATATAAGTACTTCTCCCAGAATTTTGATACCAAAATTAATAATGTCAAACTGGGGCCTGTTTTAAAGCCACGAAGACTTCAATGGGGGAGGGGAGTCAAGCCAAAGTATACGCTCGGAAAAATATTTTAAAATTTTAGTAAAGTATACGATGGGGAAAGGTAGGATCTGCAATGCAATGGTCTACGTGGTTTATGGACAGCCCGCAGGTTGAACTGAATGTTGCACCCAACTTGTAAGTTACTCATAGATTTCGTTAGTCACCGCTGCTGTGACTCGATGGAGACGCATTGTGAACTACCTTGCGTCTTCATCGTTTACATGCACGTGTGGTGTATATATTGCGGAACAATGATTTTTAATTTAAAAAAAATTGTATCTCCAAAACTACTTCGTCGACATTGCTAATTTTTTTAAATGTTACGTTAAATTAAATGATCTTTCAATTAAAAATACTAAAATAAGAAGTTGTTGAAGACCCTCGCAGTGAAAGTGCTCATGCACTTCTGATACTCTCAGTGCTAGCTGGCGTTGCTTGATCGCTGCTCATTTCTCCATTCACGCTGCAGCTCCGACATAATCTGCGTGACTGCTCTGTTGATGGCATTCCAAGTACTCAACACATTTCATCGACGACATTCTCCACGTTAAAGACAGGCATCTCCCTTCGCACTGTCTCGAACCACATGCTCTGGCGTGTCCGAACCGAGGCAGGTATTTCTTGAAGCAGTCGTGGCCAGACAGGAACTGCGTTAGGTGGAAGTTGACTTCTCCGTGTTTTTTGTTCACCCAGGTCGAAAGAATCGGTATTAGTCGATGTGTCCATCTACTGTTCTCCACTGTATTCGACTCCTGTTGTCACTCAGCCAACGATTCCGCTTTCACAACTTTCCGTACTCTTACAGCTTCTCTCCGTTTGTAGCACTCGCTGTCCTCCACCAGGGTGATGCCGATAGGGATCATTCCAGCGATAACGCATACTGCTTCCAACGAGATAGTTCTGTACGCACTCACGACTTGCATGGCCATGATCCGGAACGTACTGCTCAGTTTCCTTTGGTTCTGCTCCGTTTCCAGCGCTGGAACTAAGGCTGGACCTCCATACCTCAGTATCGACGACGACACACTGGCCAGAAGACGCCTCTTGCTACTGCTGGGACCAGCGTTGTTCGGCATGATTCTAGCTATCACGTTGATGACCTTCGAAGCCTTCTCACAGGCATATTCGACGTGGCTGTTTAAGTTTAGTCGGTCATCAATCATCACTCCCCGCTTTTAACACACGCTTTGAGGCTATGGCGTGCTTCCCGACGATGATTTCTGCCCGCTGTACCGCTTTACAGATACTGACGAATAACGCTTCCGCTTTGCTGTTGGCTATCTGCAGCTTCGTTCCTTGCATTGAGTTACCAATCATGTCTATCGCCTCGGTTGACGAAACTTCCAGTTCTTCCAGCATCTTGCCTGTTACCGTCAAGACGACGTTGTCCGCAAAGCCAACGATCTCAACTCTTTTGGGCAGCTTCAGCGTTAAAAGGCTCTTGTACATCCCGTTCCAGAGCGTCGGACCAAGGATGAAGTCTTGTGGAATTTTCGCTGTGATCCTTATCGATTTCCGGCCCATGTCTGTCTCGTAGACCAGAACCCGCTCAGGATTCTGCACAGGTAATCAAGGACTCTCATTCTATGCAGTGCTTCGGGGATGGCCTTCCAGCTGGCGCTGTTGAACGCATTCTTTACGTCGATTGTTATCACGGCACAATATCGATCTTCTCTCCACTTCTGTTTGGACGCCTTCTCAGCCCTTTCGACCACTGTCCGAATTGCATCCACCGTCGATATCCCCTTCTGAAATCCGAACTGCCTCTCCGACAATCCGTGCTCACTCTCCGCGCATTTCGTCAGCCTGTTTAGAATGATCCTCTCCAAGAGTTTTCCAAGTGTATCCAGCAGGAATATAGACCGAAACGATGCTGGATCCCCCAGTGGTTTTCCTGGTTTCGGCAGTAACACTAGCTTCTGTATATTTTACCTGTCAGGAAAGTGACCCTCGTCCAGGCATTTCTGCAGCACCATCCTGAACATATCCGGGGACGCCTGGATCGTTGGACCTCTGATCTTCGCCATCATGACTCGGTATGAGTCGCCCCAGGGGTTGGCATCAGCGTCTCGACACAGCTCCTTAAAACAGTTTGACTGGCTCTGCTTTATATCTCGTTTATATATCTCGTGGCCGCTCGAAACACTTCTCCTCGTTCCTCTCTGTCTGCTCCTGTTCTTGCTCTCTGAACACGTCTTCTGGCTCTGAGGCAACTAGCGCGGAGGGTTCTAAGTGCCTCGTTCCACCAGTAAACTGGATGCCGTCTGTTATTTGGCTCCAGTTTCCTCAGCTTGGTCGTGTCACATGCTCTCACTAACGTTTCTGTCAGCTCGTCCGCGTTCAGAACCACGGGGCTCCTGTCCACACGGAGTGCCTCAACGAAAATATCCTTGTCGCAAGCATTCGTCTTCTACTTCCGGTCACAAGTTCTCGTCCTCCGTAGTGCCACAGTATTCCGTTGGTCGACGCTATATAGGAGCGCCTGATGGTTGCTATGGGTGTATCCTTCACACACTCTCCAATCCATGTTTGCCACCAGCGAAGGACTGCAGAAAGTAACGTCGCTAATGGATTCCCAGCCATCTCTGCGAAAAGTTCTGCTGGTGCCTTCGTTCGTCAGCATAACTTCCAGTTTTGCCAGAGCTTCCAGCAGACTTTGCCCTCTTGCATTGGAACATCTGCTTCCCCACTCCATTGCCCAAGCATTGAAGTCTCCTCCGATGACTACCGGTCGTTGTCCAATCAGCTCTTCGGTATGCCCATACAGAATCTCATGGCACTACTCCATAGGCCATATGGGGAGTCCGTAACAACTACATATGAAGATTCCGTTAATTTTGTATGCTAGGCATTTGAAACCTCCCGTAGTATGATCATTTTCGCCCTCTTTTTTGCACAGCATACACCTTGGTTTCTTCATGCAGCCTCTTGTAATAAGACCTTTCTCCTCGCATTTCCTGCACAGATCAGATCTGTCAGGGCCATTGCAGTTCCTCGCCTGGTGACCGAAACCCATGCACTTGAAGCTTCGCTCCAGTTGCTTGGTAACCCGAGGAGTGGCTTTCAGCGAGCAAGCTACCCGTCTCCAACAGCTTATTTGCTGCATCTGATGACAGCCGTATCAACGCACTTCTCAGCTCCTCTTCTGTAGTGATCTCGTCCAAATCCCTGCACTCGACCACTGTGGAATTAATCAGAAAAGCTCAATTTGAAGGATTTACTAATGAATTGGTAGATCTAACAAAAAATTAGATTTGACGAAGCCTACACACTACACAATTAATCTAGCTCGGTAAAATATCCAACAGCCGATTACTTCGGCATTTAGTTTTGCTGATATCTCTGCAAACAATCTGTTTGTTAGCTGATATCTCAGCAAAATATTATATATTAGCTGAGTCTCGGCAATTGTTTGACTGAATCTCAGCAAAATAAATTACAGAATTACTCGGCTGTTGGAATCTCGGCGAAAATTTTTAAGTGTGTAAGATTATTTCACCGAAATCTGTGAAATTTTACT